GGTAAAGATGTACTTGCATGTATGGGGGTGGATGCTCGGATGCATGCTGACAGTTCCCTTTTCCTTGATGGACCGGGTGTACTGATGCTCCTAATATTATCCATGAGATGAGTTGTGACATTTCACAGCCTGCCAGACATTTCACAGTACCTTCCATAAAGGATATCTGGGAGTGATGAAAGAGATGGGATAGCTGCCAAGAAAACTGCAACCTTGGACTTGCCAGTTATGTAGGGCACAAAATTTGAGGAGGACTCACTCTCAGGGTCTTGTGCCTGGGCTTTGATGACCCTGAGAGTGGGCACCTCCTTAAATGTATGCCCTACATGCCTCACTTGCCTCACTCTAGTCCAAGCCCTGGTCCTACCCAATTCTCTCATCTTACACCTGAGGTCTGCAGAGGAAGAGAGACATGCTCACCATCATATAGCTCTTTATGATGGAACTCCAAGTTCGGGGTTATTATGTGTTAGCTTATCATCCTCTGGGCATATTAATGTATATTAAAGGCTCTGAGAAGTGCTGCAGCAAAGAAAACTTTAACTCCATTTAAATCAGTGCTGCCTAAATTTGCTTGACCGTAGATGGTTTTCCCCCTGTATAACATGTTAACATCTTGAGAATCTAATATTCTCTGAGACATAATTTGGAAAATACTGTTTCTCTGTTTATTTCTGCTTTTCTCCTAAAGTGGAATTATCCATTAAAATAGCTAAGCCAAATAATCAAGAATTAATAAACTTATTTTTTTTTTAAAANCACTTGGATTTTGATAATAACTTAACAAGATAAATTACAGCTTTTTGGACTCCTGGGAGATAAATTTCAGCCTGTCACCCAGATATCATCCAGTTTCTGAACAGTCTTAGAATCCCTGATTCAGGTTCTCCCTTGAATGCCCACAGACCCTCCAACCAAGGCTGGCATCTCCCACCACCTCCTATAAATCTGCCCGCCAAATCCCATGGTGTAGTCCTGCTAAGTCACTGAGGTTGTGTGTGCTTCCCCTCAACTTGCACTCCAGGTGGGGACAAGGACATGGACTTCGACATTGAGAAGACCACGGGCAGCATCATCATTGCCAAGCCTCTCGATACGAGGAGGAGGTCGAGTTATAATTTGACCGTGGAGGTGACCGATGGGTCCCACACCATTGCCACCCAGGTTAGAGGCCTCAACTGGGGACCCCCAAAGTGAGAGAAGATGGAAGGCCACCTTGGTTGGGATGAGGCTACAAAAGGCTTTTTGTGAATATGGTGTGCTTAGAGAATTAGAATCTTATCTAAATCCCAGTCTTATCTGGTCCACTCTCTGCTTCTGTAATCTTAAGAGGATTCTTGTTCCCACTGCGGATCTCTGTGCAATAAGGGGCTTTGTCCAAATTAGCGGTTTTCAGTTAAAGATGGAGCTCCATAGGCACTACCATGGGTTTGAGGAGTGATGGTCATGTAAGTGGGGATTGGATTCCTACTCTGGCTTCAGAGTTTTATCTATTTCATATATATTGGGATTTCACACAAAACTGCATTTGAAAAGGTCCTTTAACAAAAATTTTGGTTTTGAAAACCACTAGACTGTATATTATCTGAAAGCTTTGTGATTTTGACATTTTATCATTCATTCAACAAA